TTTAAATGAGAATTATGTGACAAAAAAAATTCAGGTTTATAAACACAGGAAAACTGATACAAAAATAATGAGAAGAGAAAAATGCTATTCAATCTTTGATAATTTATTATTCCAATAACACGACAAAAGACTTACATACAAGACTCTAAATAAATAGGATTGATTTTTTAAGAAACATACAGTCAAATGTTGTTCCATTCTTTAAGTAAGTAACTCATGAGTCTGCACCCTTATTTTAATAGTACTACCATTATTGCCTTTAGAATGGCCTTTCGAAGCCTGTATTACAATCTTCTGGTGATTTCTACTAGCAATAAGCTTTTGTTCCTTGAAAATGGCAATAATTTACAGAGGTTACAAAGTCATTCCAAGTCAAATCTGGTGAACCATGCAGATAATCTGAATGCATTATGACATTAAAATTCTTAAAAATCAATTATAATAAAAGTAATGTGAAAAAGTTGTCTTCTACAGCTTTTTTTCTATCTCTCAAGTTAACATCAAAATAAGAATTTCAATAATGGTAATATATACATTAATAACCCGATGATTATGGTAATTATAAGATTATTAAGCACTCCCTTTGTGCCAAGCTCTTCACTGGGTACTCTATATCCATTATCTGAAGGAATTCATCACCCCACAGACCAATAAATTAAGAACTATCATCACCACTTTACAAATGAGGAAACTGAGGCTTAAAAGGTTCCAGCGGCCCAAGGTCACCCAGCAGGCTAGTGATGGGGCTGGACCCCAGCTCAACATCATCTCACACTGAAGCTCAACCATATTTTTCTATTACAAGTGTAGCACTGTAATTACTAATTACGATATAACCAGCAAAGATGACTAGTTACACAAATGTTACACTCTTGGACTTAACTACCAGAGAAAATACTCACACTCTCTCACCAGAAACTAACACAATCTGGAAAAGTTTCCCGCAAGGCCTGGAGACAATCCACGACCCGAACATAGTATCTGGAAGTTATCAGTCTCCACATTCCTCCTTCCCTGGCACTGCTTATGTCCCTTCTCTCCATGCTATACAACTGTTGGAGAACTGAGTCATTTGTACTGGGTAAGTGAAAAGGGATCCAAATGCAGTCAAGACCTGTCAGTCCAGGAAGAATAGGAAAAATATACAAAATCTGAATCAAATCCAATGACA